TTTAATTTATATAATTTAATTTAAATAATAAATTTTTTTTGAATACGATAAATTAAAAGGCAAAACATATAGTCGAATGTTATCTTGGTATCGCAGCCAATAGAATTCTTTTTTTTCGCGATAAAGAAGTATAAAATTTATATATACAAAAAAAAAAGAAATAATCTCTTATAGTATATATGTATATATTATATGACTATATAATATAGCATTTTAATATAACAAATCTAAGAAAAAACAAATCGTTTGCATAAATTAGCTACATCAACTCATTGCGTTAGTTATTGAGAAAATAATATGTTTTTTGTTGATATCTAAACAGATGACATACAAAAAAATTAAATAAATACATAAAATAATAAGTGTTATTTTTAATTAATGAAAAAAATGTATATATGATCGTAACTTTGTAATTGAATAACATAAAGTCTTTTAAACACTTATAGTATATATGTATATATTATATGACTATATAATATAGCATTTTAATATAACAAATCTAAGAAAAAACAAATCGTTTGCATAAATTAGCTACATCAACTCATTGCGTTAGAATTTTTTGAACAATTTATATAACTGATTTATAGTTCAATTTGAGGCTCGAGATTTTTATATACGAAACACACAACATACAAGAGACTAACACACCGAAATTATTTAGTAAATGTGTTATTTTCCCTTGTAATGTTATTGCTGTTGCGTAAATAATGTGACTTGTCTCATTCCAATGCAAGGAGTTAGCGATCAACGTTTCAGCTCAGCAACTACTTACGTTTTTCTTGAGAAAAAAAATTTATGTTATACACAAAGTGGGCCTACACTCCGTTACGGCGATTCTTAATCGTCCAGTGTTATAATTTCGACGCTATCATTAATAAGTTTGTCTTGTGTCTTTTTATTCGAGATGTTAGTGGGCTTTCCCCTCGATATATCGTACACGGACATACAGTCGGCGATCGTCGATGGCCTAGATGTTTCCGGGTTCACTTTTTGCGGCACTACACTCAAGGACGAGAGATTTTTCGAATAATCCAGGCTGGGCTTTAACTGCGACGGCTTTTGCTGCGGTATTATCTCTAGATGAGAATGCTGCTGCAATTGTGATAACATCGAGAGCGCCTTAACCGTGCTGCTCTGAGGAAAGGCAGCCGAACTCGGTAGCGAGCTCGATGGCACGTCCATCGCCGCCGTCGATGGTTTCGCCGACTTGTTGCCAGCAGATGATTTCTTGTAGCTGTGATACTTGACGCTCGCGACAGTCTTGATACTGCCAGATTGCGGAGCGACGACAGGACTCACAGAGATGCCGCTCAAGTCCGGTGGTATAAAAGGCGATTGCGACATCGCAGTGGAATTTCCTGACGGTATCGCGTTTAATATACTTGGAAAATTGCCAGGCATTGACACGGGCATTGCCGTAGAAGTTTTCGCGGCTGCCGTCACCGTCTTCGTTGTCTTCCTCACGTTAGGATGCACGCTCGTTTGCAAGTTCGAGTAAGGTCGCTGACAATTCTTCTTTGACAATAATTTGTGTTGTAGCGACGTGCCAGATCGCGACACGTTCATGGGTAAGTTCACAGGCAGCGTCTGCTGTTGTTTCATTATCACAGGCGCACCCATGGATGCGTGGGCAATTTGTGGATTCGTCGTCACGACACCACCGCCGCCGTTATTGTTCTTCAAAGGCGAATGCGACAGTGACGCGTTGTTATGTGCGGGTTGCGGTTCGGTCAACGATTTTGACACGCGTATCTGCGGTGCGCTTATCTGCTTTGGCGGGCTGCTCTTCACTTGCTGAATGATGGACGGTTTGAGCAGAGACATTTGCGCTGCCGCCGTCACCGTCGTATTTGCCGAATGTAACATCGGTTTTGACGGCGATATCTGAAGCGATTTCGGAATGTGGACGGGATGCAACGCCGCAGCCGAGTCGGTCTGCAAGCTCGGCTGCTTGCCGCTAGGCTTCGTCTTGTGATGAGATGGCGGCTGCTGCTGTTGCTGCTGTTGTTGCTGGCTCACCGGCGTTATGGATATATTAGGTCGATCCTTTGTCATCGACATGGTTGTGCTGGTTTTGGCAGTCGTTTGATGATACATGGGCCGCGACGTCGACGCCGTAGAATTGCTCAAGCTTAACAACTGTTGTACTGTCATAGAATCTAAAGATCCTTTCAAATTACTTAAATTACCGATATTACTTGAAGTATTGACATTGCAGCTGGATGTACTCATCGTCGAGACATTACTAATACCAGCGGTTATTGTAGTACCCGGGTTGTTTAAACCGCTGGCAAGATTGTTTAGTGATGACAAATTGTTCTGATACTGCCTGAGGATATCTTGATAGCTTCCTACTTGGTTCAAGTAGCTCATAGCCGATAAGGGATCCATCATATTGGCGCCCAGTCCACTGGCCAGTATAGCCGATAGCATGTTCGCGTCGACTAGAGGGTTCATGAAATAAGGATTTATCATGGAACGATTTGGCCCGGATGTGCCCATAAAACTCGTAAAGTTACTCTTGGAACCGAATTGATTCATCACATTGCCGCCCTGCTGTATGGCATGCTGCAGATACTTGTTAGCGTTAGGCGGACGTCCCCTCGGACGTCCGGTGGATATTAAGTTCCTATGCGGTTTGCGATTCTGCAAGGTCTGTGGTGATGTCGAGTTTACTGGTATCTGCGGTATGGCTGCCTGTGAGATGAATCGTTTTTAAGATATTGATACGATCGTCATAACTTACAACAGCAACGATGAAGAAGTTCGCTTACTGGAATAGTAGAAGTAACTTGAGGTTGCACGTGACTGCTATTGCTGTTATTAATCGATGCAAGTTTGTTCGCTTGTATTTGTCGCTGACAACATTTGATAGCGATATCCAGGACATTTCCCTCCAGATTCTAAAAATCAATGCAAAAATTATTGTGTTGACATTTGAAACTATTGCAATTGTTACCTAATATCTTAAATCTGAGTAAAAAAGATGATTTTTAATAAATAGCTTTAATTATTTAACTCGCTCCTCGATCCTCTCGAAAAGTTATTTTTAATAACATAAAGTAATGTTTTACAAAAAAAAAAAAAATGTAAAAGATTTTTTTCCACATAAAAAGATTTTTAAAATACTTTTATGCGAATATTGCAAGATGATCTTTTACCGTTATAAAAATGTTTTATTTTGTCCATAAAACTAATTTAATTTCTATGATCACATACAAGTGTGCAAACAATAATCTGATAAGATAGAAGAGATCCGATAAAAGATAAGACAAAAGAGAAGATATATACATACAAGTCTGCTTGTTCAAAAAATATATGCAAAATGCAATCACACACGAACAGAATTAATTTCTATAGTCTAATTATTTAGAGATTATATATGTATACACACACACACACACACACACACACACACACGCATACTTACTTTATTCCCTATGTACATTTTATAAGTGTCCGTCAATAATGTCGCAAATGTTTGTATAGTCGACTCTTTACCCTGCAGGTGCTTTTGTACAAGTTGATATGTTTCATACACATCAAGCAGCACTTGCGTTCTGGCATCTGTTCTAATAAGGTGAACGCTGTCGATTGTGCTTGCCGAACCCATTGCCTGAACTCTGCTTCTGAGCGATTGTTGACATAGTGTCAGAGCTTGTCGGGATAATTGCTCTCTCTCGGAATCACGTAAGTATTTTCTAGAGAAAAAAGTAACATTAGTTTTTTTTCATATTATTTAAGTTTTTGCACGATAAATTTTATTAATTTTTTAAGAAAGAAGAGAAGAGAAAGAATAAATTAGTCTTTTAATTATTTAATTTTAATCTTACTTGTCTGAATCTGGAATTTTTCCGAGTTGTATGCACAACTGCATCAACATCCGACTATCGTTACTTTCCTTTAATATCTGCATGAGTAGCGTCACGCATTTCGACATGTGTGAGGCAAAGCTTCCGGGTCTGTCAATTTCATTGATCGGTATATGCCATACTCCCTGGAAATCACATAATATTAGAACATATACATCAATTATGCATCACATAATTTGATGATATAAAATAGAAACGTTTGCTCCAATAACTTTGTATATTAATTTCATATATTGCAATTACAGAGCATCAGGATAATCGAGGAAAATGGTTCTGATTCATGGCATATCTGTGATTATAATATTGTTATATATACTCTGTCTTATCACTAGGTAGTAATTAACAATGATTATCACCATAATCTATTACAAATGATAAAATAAAAGAATAGCTCCATATCATCTTAAAAATTTTTTGACTTTTGAAAATAAAAATAAAAAGTATTACTTAATATATTTATCTAATAAAATAATATTAAAGTATATATTATAGAATAATTCCATGTCAAAAGATATGATAAAAGAATAACTTCTTTAAAATTATCAAAGGTATTGTAATACTACGCCTAGAAAGATGATAATAGATACAGATGCTGGAGGAGATGATGCTCTAGCAATAATGTTGGCTCTCATGTATGAGACCAAGACACACGACATCGAAATTCTAGCTATAACTGCTACATATGGTAACACATACTTGAAGAACGTGGAACAGAATGTATTAAAAACTTTAACAATTGCTAATAGAAGCGACGTAAGTACATACTTGATAATTGAAGGCTTTTGACTCACTTTGTTCAAATTTTTACAATTTAAAGAATTCAAGAATTTAATTAACACAATGTGTGTTAACGATTATATCATGATATAATTATCTCTTTCCAAAATTTTGCAGATACCCGTGTATAGTGGTGCCCAAAAACCATTGATAAATATATATGAAAATACTAATTACTTTGGCAAAGATGGATTTGGAGATTTTAATTTTACTAAAACTATAACAGCAAAAGTGGACAAATCAAAACACGCTTCTGTATTACTTGTAGAATTAGTGAAACAATATCCAGGTATATGTACATATATATGTTTTAATATAAATATTCAATTCGTTTATAATTTTTGTAGGTGAAATAACTATAGTTACTCTTGGATCTCTGACAACAATTGCTACAGCAATCGCATTAGAACCTAATTTTCTGCATTTAGTAAAGCGACATATTATAATGGGATCGAACATTGACAGTAATATAATTGAATTTAATTTTAAACAAGATCCGGAAAGCGATTGGATTGTATTGAATAACACCAATAAACCTAGTATTATATTGCCATCAAACACAGTATATGCTAATTCTATTTCAAAAGTAATGTCATAATATTTATATAAGCATACGTGGATTATATTGATCTATGAATCATAGAATATTATTTGATACACAGGAAGAATATAGAAACATTTATAATAATCTGGATATTTCTATTGCAAACTTTTTGTATCAAGCTGAAAGAATCGGTTTGGAAAAAACCGAGATGTGGGAACCAGCAGACGGAATCGCTATGGCAAGTGCGCTACAACCGGAAATGATAACGGAACGTTGTAAAACTAATTTAAGACCGGTAATCGCCGGTGATGCAAGAGGTTCAGTTGTGAAAGATATAGATACGAATAATCAAGTCTGCAATGCAGAAATTATACAAAACGTTAATATAACTATATTTAAAAATCTTCTATTAGAATATCTTTCTTAACAGTATTGATCTAAATTGTGGAATTATTATTATGCTAAATTCATTTTTAATTTTGTATTATATACAAATGTTCATATATTATTATATTATTCATTATATTATGCATACTATTAATAATATATATATATACTTACATTAAAAAAGTTGGTACTTCTTCTCTCAGCGAAAAGTCCTTGAAAGGTTTGTCCAGGATAAAATTGACAACTGTATGTCCTTAACAAGAGATCCTTGCATTTCACGGTATCTTTCGCCTTTTTATTGTTAAAGAAAAAGTGTGCGAGTCTATAAAAGGACTTATGATGTTCGGCAAATCTTAATATACATTGTTCTAAACCAGCTAGACAATACGCAATTAATATCGCTACCTCTTCTTCCGGCATATGTTCCTCTAAAAGTTAAAATACAATAAAACACAATATATAGGAATCTCTTTTTTTTGCACTTTAATAAAATATGATGCACAAGCTATAATAAAATATAATGATGAAAATAAAAAGTAGTAGTATATAATTTACCATTGTCTACATTGGCAGAATCTTTCTTCTTCTTTTCTGGGTCACTGTCGATAGATTCAGTATCGCTATCGCTAGAACTATCGCTGTCAGAACTATCGTCACTACTGCTAGATTCTTCACTACTACTAGAGCTCGAGTTATTTGTCTCTGTAGTTGTAGTTGTAGTTTGCGTAGTTGTGGTGCTTTCTTGAGAACCTCTTCTGCTCAGAGTCATTTCTTCATTTGCATTGGTTTGTGCTTTCCTTTTCTCTTCCATCTTGTCTTTATTATCTTTTCCCTACCAAATAATCAGAATAATGCTTGTATCCATTGATTTCAAACACTTACACATTAACAAAGCATATTGAAAGAAAAGGAAAAAATAAGATTAGATAAACGTACAGTAGTTTGCAAGTCTTCGTTCTGCAACCATTTGCCATCGAATCTTCTGGTGTCCTCATCATCCGCGGAAGATTGCTGGGTTTCCTGGCTAATTTCCATTGCCTGTTTCATAAGAGCATCCATTAAATCTTGTACATTGTCAGTCTTTCGTTCAGGATCGACTGTTAATATATTTACTGAAATTTTTTTATTCTCTTCTGTTTTTGTCTGCGATTTTGTTTTATCAGCACTCTTGTTTTCCAGCATCTTCTTTTGTAATTTCGGTTCGTTACTTTCATCACTAGACACAATCATCACATCATCACTCGTTTTCTCCTTTCGCGATACCATATCACAAACTTTGGTAATTAAATCGTCTATTAAGGCTACGACGTCTTGCATCAATTGTAAATGCGAAATGTTACTTAATTTTATTTTTTTCGTATTGTCATGTGACAGTTCATCAGGAAGTCTCTTGCGGCTTTCAGACTTCCCCATCTCCATCTTAACGTCGGAGATTTTGTTCGATCTATCTATTATTTCTATTTCTTCAATACTATTTGAGCGTCGACATATCGTAACTACGTTCTTATCCGCATCCATTGCACTATCGGCTTCCTTCGAAATACTTTTCTCAACATCAGCGTTCTCCTCCCTTTTCTTTTCGTTAAGTTTGGACTGATACTTCATAAAGGGTCCCTCGGAGCAATTTTTAAGGTGCCAATTGAACAACTGACCCAATGATTTTTTCAGCGGTTTACCCTCATGTTGCTCCAAATACTTTAGTATACTAGCATGAATACGGTAATGAACTTCTAGTGCTTCTATAGATAAATTCTGTGGACTCTTGTGGCTTATTCTACGCGGATATTGAGCGTTATTCTCGTATAATAATTCACTAGCCTAAAAGTAAACATTAATGTCAAAACTATATTGGTAAAAAGAGAAAACAGCATAGTAGACAAGACTGACCTTTGCGTAATGTTCTAAGAATATGGGAGGATCTTGATTTTTCTTTTCTGCGACTTTACCGAGCATATATTGATAAAGCCATCTCTCGTCGTGCTGTATAGTCGGTTCCTCGATAGTTTGGCATATTCGATTAGCGGACTCGAAGCACTGATCCGCAATCTCCAGCATCTCCTCCTTTCTGGTTTCCAAAATTTCGAATCTCTCCATGCTCAATGTATCGGTCTCTTGTTTGAGCAATCGCGAACAAAATGAATGAACTATATAAACGAAATTTCCATACTCTGTCCAAATGACAGAATGGCCAGGCGCCAGCTCAATAGCGTGTTGATAACTCGATTGTGCCATTTTTGCCTTATTGAGAAACTTATCTTTTCCTCTAAATGTAATAGAAAATATATATATAATACATATAAATGATACAGAAAAATAAAATTTAGGAAAAAAAGAAACGATACTTACATAGGTCTGTAATTGTTCAACCAATTCTCTATTATACTGCCTGTCGCCATAGCTAGACCTGCCCACGAATTTAATCCCTTCGGATATAGACACAGATCTAGTAAATAATATCGACAAGCGTGCTCCCACTTGTTGTTCTTGAAATAAAAATCACCTAGTAAATAATAAATCGTAGATATCGCATGTGGTAGAGGTTTCACCACGCTCGGCATTTTATCCCGTGCGCCGATTATGTATGTCGTCATCTCATCTACTATTTGATTTGGGTCGCTCTCTCGCGGGATTAATCTCATTATTCTCTTAAACAGTATTTCCGTATCCATGCTGATGGAGAAAGGACGGGGAGACTGAAAATTGGGTAACTGCTTCGGTTTAGAAAAGTCGAATAGCAACTGCGCTCCTTCCCAGGTTAATTCCATTTGCGGCACCATGTGATCCTGTAGATACTTTGGACGTATTTTGTTGACCCTGTTCGGATGACCGTACAAACAGAAGAATATTTGTTCCAGATATTTCGTGAGTCTGTTTTTTATGGAAGCGTACAAGGGAGTTTCGAGCTGCGGTATAATGAGATTCATGATGAAGAATAAAAGTTTTGCCTCATTGAAACAACACCAAGAGTGTCTGCCAATAAATTCGTGGGCGGTAAACAGAATCATGATGGACGGTGGGATGCCATCGTCCTCGTCATCTGATTCGGAATGATGAGAACCGTGCAATTTATTTTTGTAAGGGGATTCGACCTTTGCTCTTTCCTTATCTTCTTCACTATTAACACACCAAAATTTTACATTGCAATATATAATAATATGTATATATGTGAATATATGTATGTGTATATATATATTGCCTGACACAAACTTACTATTGTAAAATATAATGTAACAGGATCCAGGGTAGAACAGTCTCCAATGGCATTTCAACAGCATTCTCTGGTACATCTAATTGATGACAGACAATGTGAACTAAATTCTGCACCAATCTCGACAGACGAGATTCTGGCAGATATTTTACTGAAATTACAATAGAAAAATATCATAAAAGAATATTATATTGCAAGAGTTTCTTATATAATGTATTTTGTAATGTACTTTGTAATGTAATCTTACCAATGAATACACTAACTTCGATCGTACAAGCTTCCAATTTTTCAAGTGCCATTACAATAGAACTTGTCCACTTCTTTTGTTCAGCTTCATCAGACGAAATCAAGTAATTTTGCCATGATTCATTGAGACAAGCTTCTGCCCAAACATAACATTCCTAAAAGTATTTCATCAAAAATTTATTATTTTCTTACACACATATATTGATGTATTGTATTTGTTATTAACGCCAGTAACAAGTGTTACCTCATACTGTTGAAGTTGCCATAAGCTGTCGAGTAACATGGTTAATTGTCGAACTCTGTCGACGATGTTTTCATTAGTTATCAACAATTTGTGCCTCTGTTTGGCAAATTTGAAAGTATCCTGTAGTATGTAAGACAGTTCCGCATATTTCTTTTCATCATATAAATGTTGAATTTCGCCTAATTTTTGACCCCTAAATGATTACAAATTAAATTATAATATCTCAATATTTAATGTATTCAATATCTTGACAATAAGTATAATATATATTAGAGAATATCAAGATTGAAAATATACCTCTGAATTGATGTAAGTTTGCTCTTTACGAGTTTGGCACTGATTTGAGAGTTATTTTTACAATTTAATAGCCTAATACATGGACTTGGGCTTTTACTTTCCATCTTTTGCAAACGATTCAATAACTGAAAATTCATACTTTATAGTTTATAATAATATACCATTTCTTTTCGATTTTGAACAAACATTTCTTACCAGCTCTAGCGTCTCTATGACTATGTCTATATCACCTTGACACAGAAAGATGTTAGCTTTAAGCCATAGAATTCTCAGTAAGATGTATAAGTTTTCGTCATTTAAGAGATCTTGTCTAACGCTTGTAAATATTATATGTCCTAATTCTTCTGCTGGCATCCCAGTGCCAAGTTTATCCAATCTGCAATAACAATTTCATATGCAAGAAGCTTTTTTATAAGTAACGTAAAACTTGTAAAGATAAGATATTATCGATGACTTACGTAGGATTTGGCAAAGTATCCGGTTTATTATCCAGCCATCTATCTGTATGAAGCTCCCCAAATAGCAGTGTCATTTCGGTATCCAACTTTAAAATCTTATCATTGACATCTTCATCGAATGATGACAAATGTGGAATATGTTGCCTAAATAAGATTGGTTAATCCAGATTTTTATCTATACACACAGTGAATAATCTTTATGCATATTTACCTCATAAAGACATATGCTTGTAGATAAATATCCGACATTCCTTTCGGCCACATCTGATTCCATTTGGTACACAGAAATTCTGTAAATTTCGCGATAATTATCATTAAATTACTTTTACTGCTATGCTGATTTATAAATGCGTCCACATCAGCAGTTTCTGCCTCTGTCCCAAAGTATTTCTGCTGTTGACTGTGCGACATAAGATCAGAGGTTAATAATTTCCTATTATATACATTTATTATTATACATTTCCTATTATATTTCCGAGCAAAAACTAAGCTATAGGCACCTTGAGTCAGGGCTTGGTGATTTTGAACTTTCCGAACTCTTAAGGAGTTCCACATTAGTACTATTATTCTCTTGATTCGTGAATAACTGGTACATATCCATTGTGTCCATAGATTCGTCGAGATTTTTAGTGACATCATCTTTAGTCAATCTTACTCTATCGGGTCTGTACAAAGAAATTATATTTCCATAATTATAGAAAATTTATATCTCTAAGCCACATAATATATATGCGTATTTAATTACTGGATGTGTGCATACAATAAAGTACTAGGGAATAATCTTCTAAGTGCTTCCTCCAATTGAACATCGTCCCTCTCTGCTTCCCGTCTGTTTGAACCTCTGACTCTCGCGGATCGTCTCATACTGCTGCAGCTCCAGGCCCATTGCTGCAGAAAGCACAGCGCGCTTCTGCGCCTTTTCTTCACCTTCTGTCCCTCCTCTTTCCCATCAGTTTTCTCAGAGTGAGTTTTATCGTCTGTCTTACACATCGCGTCGCTCGCTTTCTCGGCACCTTTATCAGAAACCTTATCATCGCTCGATTTATCGCTTTCTTTGTCGCTAGATTTCTCATTGGGTGCTCCATTATCCGTACTGTAGACATCATCTGTGACTTTGTCGTTCTCTAATTTATCGATATTCACGTCCGTTTCGGATTGCATCTGTTCCTCTGAATCCATGTTCTTCGTTTCGCTTTGTTCTTCGCATTGCAAACCGTCTGTGTCGGACATTCTCAGTGGATCTTCATCTTCAATTATTTGCACGTCGGTCGAACAAGATTTTTTGTCGTCCTCCATTTCAACTTCCATCGCGGTATCCGAGACTGTGTTGAAAGCCTGATTGTCGTTTGATATTTCGCAATCTTCCGTCTCGATCTTGACAGATTTGCCGACATCATTTTCTTCATTCGGAGTTGGATCATTTACATTCTGCTCATCTACTTCCATAATGTTAATTTCTTCAATCTCACATTCTTTATTCGCCGTTACATCCTTGTCATCAGGTTTTCGAACCGATAATACAATTCTACTGACAAAGTTCAAATCATTTTCAGTGATATACCTGTGCATGTCCAGTAGACTTTCTCCGAGAGCCAGCCACGTGTAATTTATTAAAGGCATTCTCAAAGTCAATTCCGGCAATGGTTTTGGCATAAACTCCACTTTACAAACCTCTGCCCATTTTATGGAAACTTCTCTCGCTTCTGTTAATAACTTGTCACCCAATACGTGATCATATTCGGTATATAAAGGTGGATCTAATTGCCAATCGCTGTTGTACAATTTATAACATTCTTCCATGCATGGAATGTCTTTAAATATCCTATCGCGAAATGCCAGACCTTTCACATAATTAGGATCCATTTCCAATGCCACAGAAATATACAACAGACAGTTCATATAATCAGGAACAGCATATAAGGCAGTTATTAAATTATCCAAGCAAGGCCAATGATTGGAATTGCACTTTAAACCCTGCTTAAAGGACGAACAAGCTAATTCTAAATTGGAAATCTTCATAGCTAATGTTCCAATCCTATACCACAGCATTACATCGGAACCATCCAAGTTTGCAGCTTCCCAATAGTTCTCCACAGCATCCTTGTAATTCCCGCAGGCTGTTTGAATGGCACCAATATTCTTGAAGCAGGAATATTTCAAAGACAACATTGGTCTTGATCTGCCATCTGGCACTTCGGGCTTCTCCACTTCATCCAGCAATTCAGTTTCCAAAAGATCCTTAAAAATAACTAACGCCTCTTCTCGTTTATCCTTTTTCAACAAGTCCAAAGCTTTGTTGTATTCCGTTAGTGCTATTTGTTCCTGGAATAAATTAATTGGCATGTTAATATATGCGTCAAGTACATTTCCTCTTCAACTTTTAATTTAATGCTCAATGCCCTCATTATCCGTAACTTTATTTATATATAATCTCCAATATTAAAAACAGTCCACTAAAAGGTTAAAAATATGAATCACGTGCACCGAATGTAGGAGACAGATGCAGATCCCTACGTACTCGATTGTCAATCAATTTGGCTCTTTAAATATTAATCCGTCACATTTGAATAAATCTCGTATAGAAATGTATCGGAAAAAACAAAATTTTCTTTCTACGTTATAGCAATGACGTTAAATGTTGGAAAATGCGCAAAATGTCGCTGATGTTTTGAGGTTATACGCGAATGTAAACAGAGCGTAAATATTTCTCATACTTGCGCCTCCTTCGTAATCGTGGGTACATCCTCCTCCTCGCTCTCCTCGCTCGACTCCTCGTTGAGCGCCGATATTTTAATCATCCTCTGCTGAGAGATTTTCGCGCGGTATCAACGCCTGCATACAAAAACGTCAACAAAAGCACAGACGCCGGTTTTTTAATACGCCGCCATATCACATATCACGGCGAATGCCGCGCATTCTAGATTCTAGATGACAAGATCGTTGAGCAGCATCTGCTGGTTGGAGATCGTTGGAGATGATTCGATCAGATGGCGATTGCTTTCTTTTAAATAGGTTTTAATGTGCCTCCAGTGTGTGGCATATAGCTTTTTGAAATGACGATTGTATTATAATTAGAGCTATGTTTCATCAGTTGTACTTTTGGCACCTTTTTCCGTTCCTCCTCTTTTTTTCTTCTCCGTGAAAGAAGCCGGAGTGTACATTTATTCTTTCTGGTAAATGCAACTAAAACGAAAAAAAAGCACACATGTTTGAACTAGAAAACCTGAAGGATAAACTTCAAATAATCCGTAATTGCAAGTGTAATATCTCCCTGCACTTTGAAGCAATTGAACTTTCAACTTGTTTATCTCTAATTGCTTGTCTTGCTCGGTGATGCGTACACGCATATGACACAAATAAAAGGGAAATGTTACTGCGCTTTACGGCCACATATGTGTATACCGTTGATTAATCCAGGCCTGACTTAATTTACAGTGTAAATAGGATGCATTCGTACAATGGTATTTCGTGATCAGCGATAACAGTAGCCACGCGTTAGCGTGCAAAAATAATGTCTGTGCCTCGAAGTGAGTACCCCTGTATTCGTGGAAGCCTTGTATCTTGTATATCACGTTACCGGTATACCGTATTGCGATTTGTTGTTCAACGAATTATCGATATTGTTTTTTGTGTAAAAACTATTTTTTATAACGTAATTAAATCATATATATGCCATTGTGTTTTACAAGTAAAGGGCATAAAATTTAAAATACAAAACAAGTGTTTCTTGTTAAACTACGAATGTCTTCACCGTATACAATATATATGATTATACGTCGTAAATTTTGTAAAAGTTTAGCATACACATGTAACTCTGTCCTATATTTTGTTCTTATAATAGTTTTAATCTTTCTAGTATATTAATATACGATAGGATTTTTATAAATCAAAATCACGAGTAAAAACTTTAGTAGTTTATGAACATGTAGTTACATTATTGTTGTCAACATTCAATAAGCAATCAAATTGTTTATTGATTCGAGTTTAATGTAAAAATGGAAGAATTCATTATTCTGTATAATAATGTCATTATATATATATATAATATTATTGTGAAAATAATCAGAATCAGTAACAGTCTTTCATGACAGCGCGTTATGTTGTTAGATTACAGAAGAGGTAAGGTTGCAGTATCAACTAGAAAAACTTGGCAGTGGTACTTAATCTCACCATACGAAAAAAAAAAATGATCTTTGAGATATAGAAAATATAATAATAAATATTGAGGTATACATATACAAATATAACAATAATTTAAAATTAACAAAAATACTCGACATTCAACAAAGCACCCTTACCATAAACTGTACTCTAACAAGATGTGTAAAGTGTAGTATAATTCATTTCTTGGCACTTTAAATCATTATACAAACAAATTCCCTTATTACATAGCGGAAAATTCACGTTTAACGAATGTACAAAATGAAAACTAATTTCAAAAACTGCAAATGATGATTTTTGATACTGTTTCAGTCGTTGTACTAATAACATAAATTGATAATATGTACATCGCAGGAGACCAGTTGAGGGGCGGTGGTATGCAAATGATAGATACACAGAATATGTCCAATTCTGTAATTGAAAGAAACAAAAGTATTATAACAAAATTTCCATTTCCCCTCTACAATAGATTTCATCAAAATTGGCGTGTAGGTGAGTCTGTTTTTATTGTATATGTGAAAATATAGTAGGATGCCGATTTATATATCTTGTTATATTTATAAAATTTTTTAGATTAAATTCAAAGCAATATTATATTATAGATCCTGAAATGTCGAGACATTATTGGACCGCATCTTTCTTCTTACCGGTAGGATCGATTTTTATTCTTGGAGTAGTCGTTTTGCTGATGGTAATGTCTAAAAATTTATTTGATCTAATATCTACATGATATTAAATTTTCTCTTTCGCTCTTTATCAAACATACAATCAAAATTGCAAATTTCATATGATGATTATAGGTATTGTTCAAACGATGTCCTCATACAGTAGCCGCGATTGTTGCCGCAATCCTCGCTATCATTATCATATTAACAGCTATAGTATCGCTTAATCATGAGCCAATTTACACTTAACATGTTTAAGCCAAATAATGATCGACTGTTATATTGAATAAATCTTTCTCTTTTATATACATTAAACTGTGAGAGTACAGAACTGATCGAATATTTACAAATTTTGTAACAATTGTATACATTGAATAAATAGATATGTTACTTACTACTAGGAGTGTTCACTCATCATTTTCATTTTAATCATATCTTCGGAAACACGTTCCGCTGTTTCTAGATATTTATCCAGCGTTGAATTTAATCTATCGTAGCTCTAAAACATAAATTGCAACATGTATTAAATTGTAATTTATTAACATGATATTAGTATGTAATTTCAGAGAAAAGTAAATTTATCATACCTCTATATAAGTGGAGTTTTTACTTAAGTATTCTAATTCATTTAACAATACTTCGATGGTATTAAACGGCAACCAGGTTGGTGGCGCAGTAGCCACTAATGGTGTCTCAAAACCAAAATGTTCTTTTCCGCTACCTAATGCCGCGTTAATATAATCTACAGCTAACTCGCTTGCTTCCACTAATCGGCCGGTATTCAACATGAGACGAAGAAGCTCCGAAGCGTTGCGTTTCTGCAATATTTATGTGAATATATTTTCTAGATAAAAGAAATAGAGAAAAATAAAAAAAATATTTCGATTAATGGATTACTCACTTTATACGATATCAATAACCATTGTGGTAGAAAGGCTCCATCTTGCAATAATTTACGCGCAACGGCCTTATGTAATTCACTGTTGTCGTCTTTTTCATGCTTCAATGTGAAGTATTCCAACAATCTCCAAGCGGTATTTGCAATGGTTGTATTAGATATTCCAATATCTGGAGAAGAATATTAATTATCATATAGCGCTTTATAGAGAAAAAATTAGACATGATTCTCGATGCAATAATAAGATGAAAATTATTAATGGCTAACATATACCGAATATATCATTTTGTATTAGCCAGTCCCAGGCATTTGGATCCTCGTGTTGGCTCAATTTGATGCATTGAGAAGTTAAACTTTCGAGTACAGAGGCTTTACTAATTTTAAATTCGTCGCACAAGTGTAGTGCTGTTGTGTACAAGCCAGTACTGCACAAAGTGATAATCAGCTCGGATGGTTCTGTGAACATACAAAAATATTTTCAAAATTAATCTCGATCGCATTTTCGTAGAAATGTAAATTACACACAATTAAAAGATGCTTACCAGTATGTGCGACTATATGCATCTCCGAATTGACTTTCGATATTTTCAATCTCGCATCTACTATATAATACTCTTTCTTGATATCATCCAATTCGAGGACTTCAACTTGCTTCTTTATCTTGTAATGCAACACTTCTTTTCCATCTATGTCTCTCTTCTTTTGCGCGTTCGACGAATTCAATTCGCCGGAGATGTTCTGATCGACAGGTCTTACGATCCATCTGTATTTTTCGCTTACATGATACAAGGCATTAATACACGCCAGTAAACATTGCGCTTGCTTCGCTATAATCGGTGCAGAATGAGGTTCCTGACTTAAACGCATAGCTTGTTCGTACATTACGGATGCGGCTATAAAAATATAGTAACAATATATAAATATAGTAATGATACTCAGTTACATACTTCAAATTACAAAAACTTACCTTTCCGCATGTTTTGTTTATTGACGTGAAAACTATATAAGAAGTTATAATAATTATTTTCCATAAGATCGACGCTTCTGGCTCTGCCCTCTACTATTCTCTCGAGATCCTCATACATATCGACGTAGGGAAAAGAAATTAAGTCTATTAACAATTTTTTCTCGAATAACGTTACGACCAATTGCCGTAAACAATCCACTCTACGTGCAGCGTCTGGATTTGCGTTCAGGCAATGGTAAGCTTCTGCGTGGTGACCTAGACCCAGGTGTTGCGCGAATATTATTGAATGGAGCGTCGGCAAATTTGGGTCATCCATGTCGGCGGTCGCTATAGCCGTCTCGGCAATTTCTATGATACAATCGGATGCGTTGTGTTCCTCAAACAATTTGATAACCTTTAGATAATAATGGACCAAATCCTTGTTTCTTGATGTTACGTTAGAGTTGAGTAAGGCGTCCACCAAAAATACGTCAGTCAAAATTCCATTGGAAGCACGAAGGAAATTATCGCACGCCTTTTGCATCTCTCCCATTTCTAGTAATGCAATGGCTAGGATAAACTTCCTTGAGGCGCTATTCCACTCGCACCACGTGTTCAGAAGTCTCACATATTCTTGAACAAGCAGGAATTGACAACTTGAGAGTAACCATTCGGGAAAGATAAAATTTCCGGATATCGGCCATCTAATTTCGATTATTTAAGGAAATGTGTATAAAGATACGTGATAAATCTTGAATCCCATATATATATCAGGGCTTGATACAATATATTAAAACTAATACGACTTATGAAAGGATACATAAGTTGCGCGATAAGCGTTACATGCGTCAGCATACTATAATGCCAAGGTATTAGAGTCATCGGATCCATATTCGCTTGAGCCATCAACATATGAGCATGTTTCCCACCACTGCTATGGATAAACAGTTCTAAGAGCGACAGGGATCGATGCTGCCTTTGTCCGACGTTGATTCGTGGATCAACGAGCTTCAACATGGAAAGACGCTGCGAGCTGGATTCGCTGGAAATATTTCATAGCTTTTTTTACACTTTCGTTGCATCGACATTTAAAAATATATGTGTAAGTACAAATTTACATGTACATGTACATACATATGTACTATAGTGAATTATTTAAGTAATAAAACTTACAGTAAGGATTGCGAAGGAGTATATGTTGCCGTAGATTCACATATCCATGTAACGACATAGTAAGCTTGAGTAAGTACAACGGTTCTCGGCGCTAACGATGATTTTATGGTATGCAAGGAACTCGAGTCAAATATCTCGGGACGCAATAATATGAACTGCTGTAAGATCAATAGATCTCTGCAGATGGAGAATCTCAAAAGCGCTATTTGCGTTATGGTTTCCGCAATCGCGGAAATTCCCATCTGGCTGCCGAATAGATGATTGACGTTTAACAAGATTCTTGAGGCATCGTGATCGTTCTCGAATTGCAGCTTACTCGGTTGTCCAAGATCGTACGTTAAAGCATCAAGCAACATGGCCATAGCGCCCGATATATCCTTGACACTACTTAGTTTGTGATAGAGCTCCGATTGGAAATCGAAATCCGATAGCTGTTGATAACATGCAAGTGATTTTTAGTCTAACAAAAAAAAAAAAAGAAGAGTAAAACTAATTATAGGATACTCACCGGATCGTCGGGTTCCAACATCAATTTTGACAGCAAATCATCGATTATAATATCGGGACTTCTAAGATGATACAAATCTCTCTCAATTTCAGTTTTAGTTTCTTCAGACAATTGTTCTCCCAATATGACCAACGCGGACATTAGCGTAATTAGATCTTGGCACGTGTCTTCGTCTTGCGATAGAACAGGCGTTGTTTTGAAACGGGATGTGTAAGACTTGTCGTTGCAAAACACTAAATGTTCTAAAGCTTCCATGGGTCTCAAAAGCGATAAGGATGATTTTTTCAATAAGACAATGCCGTAAACGCTCGGCAGTAACAGTAGACCTACAGGACGAGTACCGTTAGCGTGATATTGAACGACGCACGAATAAAATTTCGACCAGCATCGGTTAGCGATTTCGAGATAATCCTCATCCATAATCACATCCGCCTGTAAATCGGCGGAATCCATCACTTCCGCCTGTATTTCGGCCTCCACCGCCATACACACTCTCTCCTTTAAGACAGCCGGTGAAAAAGTCATTTCTGCTATTACGTTGGATCTTCTGTAGATACTTAGCGCTTTCGTGATGTCCACCAACGAGAATTGTCCAGGATGAAAAATGTAATTTATATATGCTTGCCTCGGATCGGTTCCAGGATCGGTTACAATGTAATCTCTGTCGCGCGCTTGTTCCAAAATTGTGGTCTCCCATTCGGAATTAATACGTTGCGTGCCATTCAGCGATAATTGTGCGTGCGTAACCGCCACGGCGTCCATGTCTGCCGTTCTCCACACTGCCCACAATCTGGTCGGTGTGAATGCAAAATCTACCAGGTGTTGCTATTTAGAAATAATATAAATTCATTACGTTCTCTCTTATATAGCGAAATAAACGAAAAATATATCGATGAAGATATACTCACATCCGGCGCGTATAACGTACATAATCTAACAAACTTGAATATGCCGTTATCTTGCATAGGCTTCAGAATGCTAAATTCGCATCCACCGCTGAATTTTAAAAATGTTCCGAGATACAATTCGTTATCGGTGCCCAGCGCTTTCCTCAAGACGTGACCTTGCGCGCTTCGAGACACAATGCGATTCTCGATTGCCGCGTCCATCACAGCTACGCACTGCGTCTTATTACAAGACCATACACGTACGTTACCTTCTCGACATAACGCGAACAAATACGTATCGCTACCGTAACTGTGTATAACGAGGGACATGGCAACGTGAGCTTCGGTATTACGACCTCTAAACGCTGTGGCTATACCGCTCAGAAATTTGGGCACTATCGAATCTTGTTTCAATTCACTGGTATGTACAAGACCTGTGAGTGAGTCGAGCCTCAGAAGTAATATAGTTGCTGAATTGTAGGCAAGAGCAAATAGTGCTTCTTCCTGTGGCAATGTAAGCCACGACGCTGCTGCATGGGGCACTGGAGAGTCTACGAGTCAAATAAAACGATCGAGTGAGCACCCAATATGCAAATAATAGTGACAATAATACATAAAAATAAATTTACTATGCTGTAAGCATATGTATAGAATATATTACATTATATTCTCCAAACTTACTTGTGGTTCCAGCGTTGGAAATGATGTGAAATGTATGAGGATCTCTGGCATTTTGTGCAGAAGCTTCACTGAATATAGACTGTACATTGAGATCTGTATATGTACCCAATAAGTTTTCCTGGAAGGAAATAAATTATTATTAACAAAGCAATATGCATTCAAAGACGAAAGTCAAAATATCCTTGTATACTCACTTGTTTGTGAATTTTATCTGGGTGAGAAAAGGTAAGTTTGTGAACACTGGAAACGGTGACAATCAGGATAATGACAGAATTAATTGTCTCATGAATAGAAATTCCATCCAAAATTGGGGTATCCGTAAATTTGTATCTGACTCGACAGTTGGCGAGATTAATGTCAAGACTATGCTCAATCAATTCGAGTACATCATGACAAATACGCCAATAAATGAAACGATTACGAGTAAAATACTTTGATGAGTCTCTGTACGAGTAACCGCCAGCCCTTTCTGGTACCTTTATATCCTGTAACGTACTTTGGCTTCCACCTGCAAAAAAAAAATAAAGTTATTACTATATCTGTTCCTTATAGTTATAAAAAAGCAACTATCTTGACGTCATCAAACTTTGTATTTATCATGCATTATTACGCGATTATTTATTAATTTTGTCAAAGCATTATGATATGTATATGTATTTAATGTGCAATCTCTTATAGCACCTGTCAGATTTGGCGCTTAATTTTTCTCAAAAATCCAGAAACTAATTTACAATAGAAGAGTAACAGGTAGATAGAGGTTAGAAAAGTTGTACAAAAAGACGTGACTTGCAAACGTCGTATAATATTTTATTCCGTGAGCATTATTATTTGTGCATCATCGTGAATAGTTTTTCAAAGCGTTCTTATGTTAGGTTACGAGAGAAATTTCGGTTTGCCGGGCCGTCACGTGGAGGTTAGGATGTGCTCACCTGTGTTCAGGGTGATCTCCTTCCATTTTTCCGGCAGAGTTTGATCCGGCACGACTTCGCGATATCCCAGCGGAAATTCCACCATGTTCCAATAATTTTCAAGATGATACAGGAGAAATTTATAGCGATTTGTTACTTTACATCACAGAAAACCGCCGGAAATTCGAGCGGATATCGAACGATTTTTGGCGCTCGTCTCGTGCTCTACGTAGCGTTGGTGTGTGTGTGTGTGTGTGGTGTGTGTGTCACCTATGTGTAGTATGTGCAGTGCTGCGTGTGTGTATGTACCGAGTATCTGATTCGTGTTTTTTTGCAAAAAAGAATCATGGTTATTCGAGGTATCGATCAAGTCCTCGAACTAGAATTCAAAATTGGCCAATCGCAGCGTCGCGAGATACATTTTTTCGATAGCTAGATAAACTGCGATTGGCCAAATTCAAACGCTAATAATAAAGTCATTATCGATATCTCGACACTTCGCGCGGGACACCCTGTAGGAGTTTGCTTGTATAGCTAATTTGTGTACTTGGAAAAAAAGAGTCACGTGGAGTACTTGTAGTAGCGTCAGTCGTATGAGGGAATGAATAGTCGCAACTCTACGCTAAAATGTCGAATAATCGGTAAATAAATATATATATCCGGAGACGCTCCTCGAACATGGCATATCATTCGAGAGATATCTGTGAATTAGCAATTACGAGCGAAATGGAGAAATGAATAAGCTCGAATGGAGCGACTGTAATTTTCTTCTCGACAATCCACTGGCTGGAATGTGACATGTGTACACGCTCGAGACATAACCTGAAACATTAAACATCACAGTCCATTACCTATCGAAAATATTGGTTTGAAAAAACGAACAGTAACATATGAGATCGTAAAATGAACAAGAAGGTGGTCATTGCATTTTATCTGCTGCTAAACGTAATCTTCTCGATCGTAATTGTACTGTTGAACAAATGGCTCTATATTCACACCCGCTTTCCGAACATCACGCTGTCCATGATACACTTCGTTATGACGTTTGTCGGCTTGATAATTTGCGAAAAGATGAACGTCTTTTGCGTCAAGGATATTGACATCAAGGAGATGGTGTTAATCGCCATGACATTTTGCGGATTCGTCGTTCTGACGAACCTGAGCTTGGCTCACAACACGGTCGGGACCTATCAGGTGGCGAAAATGTTAACGACACCCTGCGTGATAGTAATGCAAATGATATTTTATAGAAAGCATTTTAGCACGCTTGTTAAATTAACGTTGATACCGATTACACTAGGAGTAGTGATCAATTTTTATTACGATATACGATTCAATGTTGTTGGAACCATTTATGCGACGCTTGGAGTACTTGTGACATCCCTGTATCAAGTGGTACGTTATGATTGTTTCTCAATTTTCAATAAATATCAAAATTTACATATACATTTTCTTGCAGATGATAAACAGAAAGCAGAGAGAATTTCAGATGGATCCGATGCAATTGTTATTTTATCAAGCACCATTATCCACTGTTATGCTTTTGATTGTTATTCCAATCTTGGAGCCAGTTGGGCAAACATTCACACATAATTGGTCACTATTGGATATAGTATGTTTCTGACAATTTTTTTTAATCAAGATTGTTCTCGTCGACTAAATTATCTTATTTTTATATCATTTACAGGTCATGGTGATCTTATCAGGTGTGGTTGCATTTTTTGTGAATTTGACTTCCTACTGGATCATAGGAAAGACTTCACCTTTAACGTATCCTTATGTAAAATTATTACAAGAAATTTATCAACTTGTGTATTACACGCTTTAACAAAATATTCAGATATAATATGGTTGGACATTCCAAATTCTGCCTCCTTTTGTTGGGAGGTTCATTACTTTTCCATGAAACATTGGAGATAAATCAAGTCATTGGTATAACTTTGACATTAGTGGGAATTATATTATACGCTCATGTCAAAGTATGCTCAACTTTTATGCAACGCTTCTCTATATGTTAGTAGTTTGTATTTAATACATTTCTCTTTCCAGATGAAAGACAACCAAACTGTAGTGCCAGAATTTAAAATCAAAGAAACAAAACCTTTGCATAAGGTATGATTCGGTTTCGGGGAAGATAATTGACAGCCGAAGAAACAAAAAATCTGGAATTGAAAGAAATTTATCATGGTACTTAATAACACATAAATTTTGTAAATTTAAAGTCTATATTACAATAAAGTTTATTTATTACTCCCGAATTTATTCCACAGCCTTCTAATTTTAATTAAGATATATGTAATATTCCAAAAAAGTGCTTACTTAATTCTAATATATATAAAATTAAATTTCAAGTAAAAGATTTCAAGTTTTAGTTTTATTTCTGTAATGTTAATCAATTTTGCTTAAAGAAATCTAAAAATGGATAAAAGGAACTTTAAATATATCACGATTAAAATTAATATCAGAGAGGAGTCGAATCATGGATATAAGAAATATAAATTGTTCGATAAAATATAAAAGAGAGAGCATAAAAAATACATTAAAATTTATACGAGAAAAGGATGTTCAGCAAAATGGGTCGCCGTCGCACCTTGGGCTGAGATAGTTGAACTGTATTGAAATTAGCGGCAACTTCAAAGTAAGATTACGATTTATCGTTAGCTTTTTCCCAGGTGCATCGGACCCGAGAGCAGACCCCTTGAAATGCCTTTATATACGAAACCTGGCTGCGCATGGCGTTATCGAGAAACTATTCGTCCCATGAGACATCTAGTTTCCGAAAAATGTATCAATTGCTAGACGCGGATTTCTCAGACAGCTTTCACGAATGTATTGTGTGTAATCGATATTATTCGTCTCGTTGTAAATGTACTTTTTACGGTATACGAATGTATTTCTCTTATTTGAATTTATTCCTTGATTTTATTAGAAGATGACGAGAAATACATTTGCAAGGCCGAGAATGAACGAATCAATAAATTCCACGAGCTTGAGCTTTGGAAGATGGCGCGTAATGTGAGCAAAGCTCTGCGTTTGATTTCCACCAATGGCGAATCGCGTTGCTGTAACAACAGTAGTGAGGGAGAGAAAGAGAAAGAGAGAGAGAGAGAGAGAGAGAGAGAGAGAGAGAGAGAACGAGAGAGTTACGCATTATCAATCAAACAGGAGTAGCTAGCAACGTGCTCGTTCTCTTGGTGTTTCATTTTCTCAGATTCTTTTTGTTGTATAAAACATAACGTGATGAAGATCGAGGAGGTGAAGAGCACTGCGAAGACTCAAAGGATCTCCGCACACACGCATATCAAGGGATTGGGACTTGACGAGAAAGGCACAGCTATCCAAAATGCGGCCGGTCTCGTCGGTCAAGAAATGGCGCGAGAGGTTAGTATTTTCTCAGAGAGATAGTATTGCTCTAATAGCGTTTTCGAATGAATTGATCCGGGTTTTAAATCAACCCGGATCAATTAATCACTATTTTACTATGAATTCAAGTCTTATTGGCAGAGACAATGCAATGACGTCATTAATCGCTCTCAGAGGGATTAAACCTGCTATATTCGAAAACGCTATGAGAATTGCATTATATTACATGTATGTCGGTTTGTTTTCTTGGTATAAACAAAAGTAACATTGTATTTATGTAAAATCTGCTTTTCCAAATCTTGCTGTTTTACATCTTTTCCTTTTGTACACTAATGATAGAAGAGATGGTGTATGCGATAAAAATTATTAAATATAGTCTTGTCACCTTGTTTTTACAGGCGGCAGGCATTGTTGTCGATATGATAAAATCTAAGAGAATGGCGGGACGCGCCGTGTTGTTGGCTGGTCCACCGGGCACAGGCAAGACTGCGATAGCTCTTGCCATTGCTCAAGAACTTGGTAACAAGGTGCCTTTCTGTCCTATGGTGGGTTCAGAAGTTTATAGTTCCGAAATCAAGAAAACAGAGGTCCTCATGGAGAATTTCAGAAGGGCCATTGGTTTGAGAATCAAAGAAACAAAGGAAGTATACGAGGGTGAAGTCACAGAGTTGACACCTGTGGAAACAGAGAATCCTATGGGTGGTTATGGTAAAACTGTATCACACGTGGTCCTCGGACTGAAGACTTCTAAAGGCACAAAACAGTTAAAGCTGGATCCCTCCATATACGAGTCTCTGCAGAAAGAGAAAGTAGAAACTGGCGATGTAATTTATATCGAAGCCAATAGTGGTGCGGTAAAGAGGCAAGGTCGGAGTGATAATTTTGCTACAGAGTTCGATTTGGAAGCAGAAGAATATGTTCCCTTACCGAAAGGTGATGTACATAAAAAGAAGGAAGTTATTCAAGATGTAACGTTGCATGATTTAGATGTAGCCAATGCCAAGCCACAAGGAGGACAGGATATAATGTCCATGATGGGGCAATTAATGAAACCTAAAAAAACCGAAATTACAGGTAAAATAAGACATTATATTATTTATATATCTAATATTTTCTAGCAAATTACTTATGTATTATAGATTTTTTTTAATTTAATATATGTACTAATATTTGAGAATAGACATGTGTATATATTATATTATATATACAAATTATATTTTATAGATAAATTGCGGAAAGAAATAAACAAGGTAGTAAACAAGTATATCGATCAAGGCATCGCCGAATTAGTACCAGGAGTATTGTTCATAGACGAGGTCCACATGCTAGACATAGAAACGTTTACTTACCTGCATCGCGCGCTGGAGAGCGCTATAGCGCCGATCGTTATTTTCGCCACAAATCGTGGCCGTTGCGTGATTCGGGGAACCGAAGACATCGTCTCTCCACACGGCATACCTCTGGACCTATTGGACCGTCTGCTCATCATCAAGACTCTTCCATATTCTAGGCAAGAGATTGAGCAGATAGTGAAGCTGAGAGCTATAACAGAAGGACTGCAAATCGAGGACGAATCTCTGTCCGCTCTCGGTGAACTCGGTACGAAAACGACTCTGCGATATGTAGTGCAACTTCTAACACCCGCGGCTTTGACTGCAAAAATCAATGAAAGAACCAGCATCAAGAAAGAGGATGTTGAGGAAGTCAATACACTTTTCTTGGATGCTAAATCATCTGCTAAGATACTCACGCAAAATCAAGATAAGTTTATGAAATAAAGACTAGTCTTACAATAGTTTTCCAAATGTATTTTAAATTTACTTTCCTGCATCCAACACTGTTTTAAACCAAAATTGGAAAATAATTTGATAAATTCTAAAATATTTATCGTTTAGGTTTTAATTTTTTCAATTCCTCAATCGTATTTGTATTCTGAATAGAGTAACAACAGATTTAAGTGTATATAGTAATGTTAAATGTATTACCGTTGTATAATGAAGCAACCTTACCTGTAACATTTTTTCTGGATTGATATATTTTACATACAAATGTTTTTGTATATCAAAGATATAAATAAAAATAGTTCTTGTAAAATATATATATCTATATATTATAAAAATATATCTCTTTTTATATTATATTGCAATATTTTTTATTAATTATTATAATCAAGTTGATAAAAATTATTGCTATACGAAACCTTGTGTGTTGCACAATATTTGTAAAATAGGAGCAAAAACAAAGTTTGGAAAAAAACATCTATTTAATAGAAGAACTCTATATTAGATTGGACATTAAGAGATATAATTGCGAAAATAATTTTTCAATATTGTACAAGCCAAGGTTAAAGTTCAAGCTGTGTAATCAAGAATTGTGACATACGATATCGATATACTGTGTGACTGTACGATATCAATATACTGAGTATAAAATCTCCGTCAAGTTCATAACTTCTTAGTTTTGTGAAGATCCTCGAGTAGTATATACGTGCGGTATTTATCGCTAACGTTTTTCTACGCGGTCTCTTAAAACGTTACAATGCAGCACACTTTAAAAGTGACACGATACTCGAGACTTCTAAATAAACATAATATCATAGCTCAACATGCGCGTGGATTGCGATTGAGCAATTTGCAAAACAATCTCGATAAATTACTCCCGTCAAAAGAGGAATTTCAAGCAAGGCATATCGGACCTAGAGAACACGAGCAAATAGAAATGTTGCGATTAATTGGATTTAAGGTAACATACACTTATTAAATTTTTTTATTAATGAGAAAAAGATACTTGTAATTAATTTCATTTGCAACTCGATATTGCAGAGTCTTGATGAATTAACGGAAGCGGCAGTACCAGTTAAAATTCTTCGCAAGGGAGATTTAAATCTCGATAAGCCAGTTAGTGAGTAATGTGTTCTTAATTGGTACATCTAATTTAGATTTTATTAAAACACAATTAGAAATTCCTCTCATATTAATTTGGAGTGAAATGATGGATTTTTGTTTCTTGTTTGCAAAGTTATAAACAGTAATTTACAAAAGAATGGACAAATAATATATAAACAGTATTTTTTTCCTTGCAAGACAATCGTCATTCTGTAGAAACGTGACAAGTCACGAGACTTTACGGTTCGACTTGACCTAAAATTGATAACCTCCGATCTGTCTATCGTTATCTTATAGGTCATAGGTCAATCTCGTGTGTCCGTCTCGTATTCACGTGATCTCAAATAGAATTAAGTTTATGTCGTTGCATAGATTTAATCGTATTGTTTATCGTATAAAACTCTAATTATATATTATTTACGTTGAAATATGTTCTATATGATTTCTGTTGAAATAATATACAATTAGAGTTTAGAATTATTGTGTGGAATATAAAAGTAATACAAATTAATTAATTCTGTAGCCGAATATGATCTGATGAAGAAGGTCACCAAAATTTCGGAAAAAAACGACGTATGGCGCTCTTATATAGGTATGGGGTACCATAATTGCTGTGTGCCACACACAATCATGCGTAACATCTTCGAAAATCCAGGATGGTAAATCGTGCTAGAACAAAACCGATAAACATAAAATATGTGTAGGAAAATGTATAAAGAATGCTATTGTATCTTATCTCAGGACGACGCAGTACACTCCTTATCAGCCAGAGATCTCGCAAGGACGACTGGAAAGCTTATTGAATTACCAAACCATGATATGCGACTTCACGGGGATGGAAGTGGCGAACGCCTCCCTCTTGGACGAAGGAACGGCAGCAGCGGAAGCTTTGTCGCTTGCGTGCAGACATAATAAGAGAAGAAAGTTGTTTCTCTCCGACCAATTACATCCGCAGACTATCAGTGTGATAGCAACGCGCGCTGCGTCCCTAGGTTTAACGTTGGAAGTCGGAGACGTGTTCAAAGTAGATACCAGCGGGAAGGATATCGCCGGCATTCTCGTGCAATATCCCGACACGACTGGCTGTATACACGATTTCAACAGCGTTGTCAAAAAGGCGCACGCTAACGGGGTAATAATTATTATAAAAAACTATGATATATACAGAGGAACAAACATGTTCGCCTCATAAATATTTTTTATGTAAGAAAGACAGTTTTTTTTTCGTAACTTTTATAGAAAAATAGTATCTCGTTCACAAATATATTATACGAATGTGATCGTCGTATATCGCAGTTTAACGATATGCATTACGTTTCAGACACTCGTCTGCGCGGCTACTGACTTACTGGCATTAGCTGTACTTCAACCACCGAGTGAATTCGGCGTCGACGTATGCGTGGGCACGAGTCAACGTTTCGGAGTACCTCTAGGATACGGCGGTCCTCATGCCGCATTCTTTGCGTGTCGACATAAACTGGTGCGATTAATGCCCGGTCGAATGATAGGCGTTACAAAAGACTTTGACGGACGGGAAGCTTATCGGTTGGCCCTCCAAACACGCGAGCAACACATCAGACGGGACAAAGCCACCAGCAATATCTGTACCGCACAAGCGTTGCTAGCCAACATGTCCGCAATGTATGCCGTGTATCACGGTCCTCAGGGAATACGTGACATCGCGAGCAGAGTGCACAATTTGACCTTGGCCTTGGCGAGAGGTTTGGAAGTAGCTGGAAATAGGATAAACAACATGTACTTTTTTGATACTATTAAAGTATCACCAAAAATTTCTGCGCAGAAGATAAAAGAGAATGCGAGCAAAGCTGAAATAAATTTAAGGTTTGTGTACTCTCCTCTTAATAGACGCGGAATAACAATTAATAATTTTGTCGATAAAATTATGAACGAAAATTTGCAGATATTACAGTGACGGTACCATTGGATTAGCCCTCGATGAAACTACAACGATAGAGGACGTGAATGATCTTTATAATGTATTTTCGGTGAATACTACAGTTGAAGACGTTATCAAAAACGAAGACTTTCTCGCGAGAAGTTTGGATAAGTCAGATTTCCATCGTACTATTCCGTACTTGCAACATCCTGTCTTCAATAGCTATCATTCCGAGACAAGAATAGTCAGATACATGAAATCTCTGGAAAATAAGGATGTGTCTCTTGTACATAGTATGATTCCATTGGTAAGCGGCTTCAATTTTACAAAAATGTGTTCTGGTATAGTTTAACGTTAATTAACATCAATATTTATATCAGGGTTCTTGCACGATGAAACTGAATTCAACGACGGAGATGATGCCGTGTAGTTTGAAAGGTCTCACGGATATGCATCCCTTTGCTCCTTTCGAGCAGGCTAAAGGATATCAACAATTGTTCGCCGAATTGGAGCGTGATTTGTGCGCAATCACCGGTTATGATAGTATCAGTTTCCAGCCGAACAGCGGGGCACAGGGTGAATACGCGGGTTTGAGAGCTATACAATGTTACCACGAATCCAAGGGCGAAAAGCACCGGCAAGTATGTTTAATTCCGGTATCCGCACACGGCACGAATCCTGCGTCCGCCCAAATGGCGGGTATGCAGGTGGAGCCAATTTTCGTGCGTAAGGACGGCTCCGTCGACATGGCGCACCTAACGGAGATGATCGACAAGCATCGAGAGACGTTGTCGTGCCTGATGATCACGTATCCATCGACAAACGGAGTATTCGAGGAGACAATCGGCGATATATGTAATTTGGTACATATTGCCGGCGGGCAGGTTTACTTGGACGGCGCCAATATGAATGCTCAAGTCGGTTTATGTCGACCCGGTGATTATGGCAGCGACGTTTCACATCTCAACTTGCACAAGACGTTCTGTATTCCTCACGGAGGTGGTGGACCCGGCATGGGTCCTATCGGAGTGTAAGTAACATTCATTTTCATCTTGAAAAGAAAGAGTTTTGTGTCAAATTATACATATGTATATAATTTAACTTACAGAAAGCGACATCTCATACCTTTTCTGCCAAATCATCCGGTAATAAATTGTTCTGGTAACGGCAATGGTGATATAAAGAGTTTTGGCACTGTGTCGGCCGCGCCTTTTGGATCGTCTGCCATTTTACCAATATCGTGGGCTTACATCAAGATGATGGGCCCGAAAGGCTTGCGTAAAGCTACGCAAGTCGCCATTCTCAATGCTAATTACATGAGCAAGAGACTGGAAAAGTACTACAACACGTTGTACAAGGGTGAAACCGGACTGATTGCACATGAATTCATTCTGGACATAAGGGATTTGAAGAAAACCGCTAACGTCGAGGCGGTTGATATTGCGAAGAGATTGATGGATTATGGTTTTCACGCACCAACTATGAGTTGGCCTGTAGCTGGCACCTTAATGATCGAACCGACTGAATCCGAGGATAAGACTGAGTTAGATAGATTTTGCGATTCTCTAATCTGTAAGTTTTATAAAAACTTTTTGAATGTTATGCTTAAAACAACATAAAATTAGACATTAATATTTCTGTCGCTTTTATTCACGTTGACATTTCTTTTGATAGCTATAAGAAAAGAGATTGCAGATATTGAGGAAGGAAAATTAGATATTGAACAAAATCCTTTAAAGATGGCACCTCACACGCAAGAACAAGTAATAGCAACCAAATGGAATCGAGCATATTCGCGAGAGTTAGCAGCTTTTCCCGCTGTAAGTATCTCTTAAATATTTTATCTAGTCGAACATACAACAATTATAGAATTTTATCTGTCTTTTTCTAGCCATTCGTGAAAGGAAGTAACAAGATTTGGCCAAGCATAGGAAGGATAGACGATATATATGGTGATAAAAATCTATTTTGTACATGTCCGCCTATTTTACCAGAACAATAGAGTTGTACCATATTATTTTTATATATATCACATGTACAGTTAGTTATAATAGAACTATTTAAATATTTAAATAAAACGAAAGTTTTTATATATTCAATATAAAAATTCAAGTAGAAAATGGCTAATAAGAGTCACGCGCAATAAGGAGGCACACAACTAAACTATGTAAAAATCTTTAATTCCAATACACGTTTCGATCCTTTGAATCATCTTTAACAAATTCATGTGTCTTGACCTTCAGTTTTCATTATCACCAGCTTTCGTCTTTAGTAAAAGATGAAATTCGGATTAATTTCGTTATCTCTTAATAGCTGGAACTGATAGATTTACATGAATTTATCATTTGGAACATTCAGTGAAATTAAAGATTTTTACATAATTTAGTTGCATCTACTTATTGTGTTTAGTTCTTATTAGCCCACTTCCTACTTGAAATTGTATATTTACATATTTATTATAATTTTTATACAATATATTATTTATATAGAAAACACAATGCTATTTTACACCTGCAAATGATATATTATTTATATAAAACATAATGTGCTATTTTTTTATATCTGTAGATAAGAAAATACGACAATCTGTGTCAAAAATTCAAACTTTTAGCAAATAAATGACATATATCTCCATTTTTGTTTTCATGCTCAACCTACTCATTTTTATCTAACTTGATACACATATTTACACAATTACTGATAATGGTTATTCTTTAAATATTTTGTACATGTATTATAGACCAGGCATAAGATAAGCGATGTTATCGAGCATCGAGGAAAGTGTCTCTGGTTTAGCTCCGTTAGTTTCTGGCAATTGTTGCGTTAAACAAATTAATGGACCTAAGGCACAGAGCAATGAATCCAATAGAACCGAAAGACTGCCAGAGACAGCTATTTGTCCATCGTGCTCCTTCAAACGTTCCCCAATGATCGTTAAGCTTTCGCCAAGCAGTTTGAGATGAGCCGCAACATCAATCGGCTGTGTTCCAATCACCTTGTACATTCCCGTACCTATTACCGGTTCATTGACCAGATCTTTACCGGTGCGATTTGACGGCGGTGAGATTGGAATATTCCCGACAACAGACGGCACACCGAGTTGGATAGTTTTTTTGGTAGTAGTCTTCGTTTCTTTCCCATTACCTGAAATACAATGCATAGGAGAATAATTTATTAATGTTGTACTGCTCACATTTAAACAAAGCGCATGCACGCTAGAAAAAAAAAGAAAAAAAAAAGGACTACAAAGAAGATTATAAAGGATGAATATATATTTGGTTCAATAAATATTTTTGGCTAATGCACATGCACATAAAGAAGACAAAGATACATAAACTACTGCATAACATGACACACAAATCGTACACTGCTTATATACACAAGGAACTAAACAAACCCACCAATTTTATTAATGAATTTTTTTCGCGAGGCGGGTGGTGGCATTTTCCAGATAGGCTCATCTTTACTCGCTGGTAAAGTATGAGGTTTTGCTGCTAGGCGTTTTGCGCGTCTGCGCCAATTATATTTTTCCAGATGTGGTACTGTAGCCCACAGCTCTCCTAATCGCTTAGAAATTGCCGCAAAATCTACAAAAAGCAACAATCAATAAACAACATCAAAGTTGCATGCGTTTGTAATTGTATGAAAAAGAATAAATGTAGCTTAAATACCCATATAAGGAGATTGCTCTAACAGTTCTTGTCTAATTTTCTTTGCCCATAGCATGTAAGCGGTAAATCTCGTCTTCTAAAAATATCAAAAGATTAAGGCCATTCTATGGTATCGCTCTTTATAAGTACGTACCCCTTTGTCTTTACGCTGTGCCTTCGTTTTTCCTATAATTTTCCCATCCTTAATAATCAACTTTTTCTTACATTTTTCAAGCATGTATAAACTATTTGCTTGCGATGGTGTTTCCTGACCTGATGGTGGCTCTAGTTTTCTAAATCCCGTTTCTCTATCATCTATCATAAGGGGATCTACTTCATTGTCACTTCCAGAGTCCATGCTGTATCTCTCATCCTCATTTATCCCAGAGGGATCGTCAGATTCTGAACCCGATGATTGTATCTCATTATCAGACAGGGATTCCACCTTGATCCTTTGTTGCACATGATTGGAGCCTGAATTTTTTCTTTGTCGCCCAACAATTTGGTGGGACTGGCTAGATTGGGTGGGCAATATTTGTTGTTGCTGCTGTTGTTGTACTTCATACTGATCCAAGAGTTGCTGAGTTTGTAACTGTTGCGCCTTCTGTCGTTTGAGTTTATTTTCCGTGAGATCATCAGGAGACTCAAAGTCAACGAGCTTAGAAGATTTCTTCCTTACTCGGCCACTGCGAGAGATACCCGTGACTTCTAGATCTGAAAGATAAAGCAGACTGCACCTTGCCAAACAAAGGAAAGGGTCTAATATACTTTGCAATAGCTAACTACCAGGCTTAAACATCTATAGAGTCAGGATAGAGGCACAGTATAGAAACACTACTTTTATGCAGGCTACGATGTATCAGCTACTAAAGGCATAGGCAGCCAGTTGCGGTACAACTTGGAGATTTCTTTTTGTCTTGGAAATTCTGTATTATTTTCTTATGAAAGACAATTTTATTCAATTATTCAAACATTTCATAGGGAATAATAACGACCAGATGAATAAATTTGAAAATATAATAAAAATATTTCTACATTTCTGGTCCAGTGCATTTACTCTTGACACAACTTCGTATATTGAGTAAACAAATCGTGAGAAAGTTTAAGCAATGTACGAAGAAATGTATATTATAGTTTAAAGAGATCATAGAGACACGAGGAAAAGACTTGACGCGAGATTAGCTCGATTTCGAAGTTTTCAAATTCCAATGACGCAGTACACGAATATTTCGTGTACGGCGCCAGTTAGTGCGGCGATTATTCACTGCGCGCCGCCAAAACGTATCTACATAACACCTCACATACATACACATATAACGCACCAAGTCGCAACCGAATATTGCCGGAGAGAGAAACTCCGAGATTTTCTACCAACGCGCGTATATTCATGCGATTCACCGCAAGCGATACCAGCCGAGCAAGCAAAAACCAATTATCCGATGCAGACGCGTGAAACGAGAAACCGATCCTCACCGTCGCTCTTCTGCGTGCGTGGTTTCGACGGTCCGTACATATCCATAGCGTCCCTCCGCCACCGTGATGCCTGAACGCGGGCGCTGCGCCGTGGCGTACTGTCGTCGGATTTCGCGGGCTCACGAATGTTCATATTCATGACGCTACTTTCAATCGCGCCGCCAATTTCGAATCAACGTTTTCTACGAGCGCTTACGAGTACGAAAAGAATCGTCGATTCCTCGCCCGCACGTCGCGGTAAAATTTACGAAATTACCTTTATTTATTTACGATGTATTTTCGAAAACAATTGCTACGCACGAGACGTGTGTTCGCGCCCGAGATGTGCGCCGGCGCAGCGCGCGACATTTTGAATAATACGCCGCACGCGCCAATTCCGAGACGCGAGATTCACTTCAGGCGGCAGTTTCACACTCGGTGCTCGTCTTTATATAAATAGTACGAAACCTCTCCCGCGCGAAATTGTGGGGATTGTTAGAAAGATTTTTGCGGAAAAAATAAGATCGCTTACATCTGTGGCTGCGGATGCAGTGACTGCTTTAATAGGTATGCGTGATTAAAAATTTTTATTTCATATTTCTCGCTATTTCTAACTATTAAGGAAACCTCTTTCTCCTTCATTCGCCAATCAATTCGAATCGTGAAACATTTCAGATAGGACGCAGCCGAGTTTTATACAGGTGGAAATATGAAAATTATCAAGAATCGAAAAAGAAATCATTACGAAAAGAATAGAATTAGATCGAGATTTTGTTTGTCATATTCAGGTACAGTAGTGATTGCTAATGAGTATGTGATAATATTATTATCAAGATGTGGCGTATTTTTCAAATAACTAGTAACTAAGATAAACGCCCCCTTTTTCTCCCAACAAAATTGAACGGCGCGACAAACTTCAAGTGAGACGCGACAGTTTCTTTAACGGTTCGCGGAAACTCTTCTCGTGCGTCGCAAATCGTGCGAAATATCAGGAATCGGGGAAGAAAGGACAGTAATTTTTCCGAAAAGAGTAGAATTAGATCGAGATTTTGTTTGCCGTATCAAAGTGCAGTGACTGCTAATGAGTATGTGATAATATTTTTCGTCTCAAAATCGGGAATTTTTTTAATAACCTTCAACTAAGATAAACGCCCCCTTTTTCTCCCAACAAAATTGAACGGCGCGACAAACTTCAAGTGAGACGCGACAGTTTCTTTAACGGTTCGCGGAAACTTCTCGCGCGTCGCGAATCGTGTAAATTATCAAGAATCGGGGAAGAAAGGACAGTAATTTTTCCGAAAAGAGTAGAATTAGATCGAGATTTTGTTTGCCGTATCAAAGTGCAGTGACTGCTAATGAGTATGTGATAATATTTTTCGTCTCAAAATCGGGAATTTTTTTAATAACCTTCAACTAAGATAAACGCTCCCTTTATTCTCCCGACGAAATCGAATGGGGCGCGACAAACTTCAAGTGAGACGCGATAGTTTCTTTAACGGTTCGCGGAAACTTCTCTCGCGCGTCGCGAATCGTGTAAATTATCAAGAATCGGGGGAAAAAAAGAGAGGAATCATTGTGAAGAGGATAACATTGGATCAAAGTCTTCGTTTGCCGTATCGAAGCGCAGTGGCTGCTGATGGGTAAGTGACAAAATTATTGATTCATAATCGCGTAATTTTGTAACCCCTTCAATCATAAAAAATTAGCCACCCCATCACCTATAAATTCGAATCGCGCGACTTCTTCAGGCGGATCGCCGAAGTTTCTAAAGTTTTTTTACCGACTCGCAGTACAAAGTTTTTCTCGCGCGTCGTGAAATAAAATTATCAAGAATCAAAAAAAAATCTTTGCGGAAAGAATAACATTGAATCGAGATCTTTGTTTGCCATATCAATATAAAACGATTGTCAATAGGTATGTGAGAAAAGTATAACTATCTTGTAATCCAGTTCTTTTTAACTTGCAATTATAAAGATAATTATTTTTTCATAAATCTTTAATTAATTATTTTATATTGTTGGCTAATTTGTATATTTAGAGTCAAGTTTATATTTGAATAGCATGTTATATAATTATAAAATGTATGCAATATATTTATCATTATACATTTTGCATAATATATACTCGTGTATGTACACATTTAGATTTTATATATGAAATTATTATCAAAAAGAGTATTAAACAATTAATACCGTGACAAATATAGTTGACGCTAATTGTAGTCGAATAATATTTTCTATATCAAGATTACATGAAAAAAAGAGAGAGACTATTAATATGTGAACAGACATAAAATATAAACCCAATGTATTATAATTCTGATATAAAATTTTTGCTTCTATCATTTGAAAAGCAAAAAGCAATTTTGTCACGCTTCTTTACATATATGGCCAATAATTTATATTATCGACGCATGTTTTTCACTATAGCATTTATATATAAATCCTCAAATAATATTGAAATACTTTGAAACTTTGATATGTCATTTATGATTATTTTATATTCATTATGTGTGTGTGCTATTTTTATACTTTTTTACACTCTAAATGAGAATATTTGATAGTACTATATGTACAAGAAAGCATTTCTATTACACATATAAAAATATTAATTTAGTATTATTAAAATCTGTCACAACTAAACAATTGCTTATATTAATACAATTAAATTAAATGCTATCTTCTTGCTCCCAACCATCTGCGTCGGATAGAAATCTCCTTTTATGACTTGTATTCATGTAGGGCCTCAAAGCCCATTCTGTGTCAGCCGATGATTCAGTGTCTAAGGTTCCCAATTTGATCTCGTATAGCTTCATCTGAAAACGTGGTCCAACTTCTGTCATTTCAATATCCTTTCCATGTAACTTTTTGTACGTATGATGGCGGAAACATATATAATCATCGTGATTAGCGAAACTGATCACTCTCTTGCTATCTTCCTTCGGTACAGGAAACAAATACTTTAGAATGTTCATCACTCTCGCTCCTAGTTTAGTTTTAAAATTGTGAAATATTAGATGTGGATATTGCTCTGACATTGTGCCAATATCAGGTATATCGTGTCGCATTATGACACCAGACAGTGTAAAGTAGGCCGTTGGCCCATACGGCAGATGGGAAATCACCAGGGTATCAGGAATGAAATCCGTGACGTCATTGGCACGGCAGGCATGAATCAGTTGCTTCATCTCGTAATTACCGCGATTCATTCGCTGCGAATTGGGAAATATCAGACGCAGCTCTTTGGCGAACATCTTGAGCCGGGAGCTCGGATCGCGGGACGTCGTGATGACGATCTTCGGGTCCTCCACGCCGGCCCAGCGATACTCGTCGTCCTCGTGGTTGGCCACGGCACCGCCGCCCATCTCCGTGCCCATGGCCATTGCCATCTGCGGTCCGGCATCCTCCCATTCGATCTTTCTCTGCACGTGCAACGCGCTTTTCCTCAGATCCGGGTGAATCGGTACATTCTCCTCCAAGCTATGCTTCAGCTTCTCCTTCTTCTCTTGAATACCTTTCACCTTATCTTGCACGGATTTTCTGTAGAGATATTCTCTACGCAATCGTGCCTGCCTTCGCAACATTTTTGTCGTTTAAGATGCTCACTTGCAGGTTATGTCAGGTTATGTTTACGATGCCACTGACACCACGTGTTTAGCGACACGCAACGATACGCACCATTTGTAGTTGGAATAGATTGTTATAAATGTGCAATTAAATTCAGTTGCCCTTTTTCACGCTTTTTATCGTTAAAATAGGATAGATGTGTATACGTAAGCGTTGGAAGTAGAAAAGACAAGGAACAAAGGAAAAAATTAAATATAGTTGAAACTAATAAATTTAAAATACATGCTAATCGAATTTTATTGATTATACAAAATTATATAATTAATCAGTTTATATCTCATAATAATAGTAATTTTCAGATATTTCTTTATTTATTTAATGTTTAATTTTTTAAATTATTTTTAAATTAGCGAATTTTATTAAATTATATAATTAATCAGTTTATATCTCATAATAATAGTAATTTTCAGATATTTCTTTATTTATTTAATGTTTAATTTTTTTAATTTTTT